GGACAATTACAGAGTAACCGTCCCTGGGGGGTGCTTCTTCCTCATCCACATTAATTAGAAGTAGCTTTGCATCCCTGAAGTAGGACAGTTTATGTCTTTTCCAGACACCTTTAAAGTGTCTTGAGATTCTTTTGCTATGACCCAGAAACATCTGATCATGTTCAACACCATCAGTCTCCTGTCTGCATGTCTGCTCCATGGTGAGTCCCCCAGGCTAGTGAACAGTGTACAAAATGGGTTTCTTCTCACTGCTTTTTAGCAGGTTGCCTTTCTTCAAGCAGCCCTGTATTCCAGGCAGGTATCTGGGAGAGCTTTACCTTTTCCAGAGCTCTAGAAAAAACAAATATTTTCTGTCTGACACCACTTGGTTGCTCTCCTGTGTTGTCTTCCCCCACCTCCCGACCATTAGGGTTTCATTTTCCTAACAGTCTGTCATGGGGGCATTAAAACTGCTCAGTTTGCCCATGGCCAGCAGAAGGCCGGGGTCCCAGCATCACCCCTTGCCCTTGTATAACAAGTTTCACCGTCACCTGTGGCCACCCCTTAGCCTGCCAGCCACTTCCAACAAAGCCACACAGAAAATGCAATGAAGTCATAGATTCCCTACACCCTTAAGCCAGTCCTTCTACTTCACTCAGTTTGTTACAGAAACACCTTCTTTTGGCACTTGGTCACAATTTCTCTCTTCATCTGTGTTCGACAGCAAGGTCAGGGAGCTGACCTGTCCCCTATGCTGAGGCTTCCTAGCCCCAGAAACCCGGGACAATACCCATCTCATAAGTAGGTCGACTCAGAGCTGGCAGGAAGCCTTTCACTTGCCTAAGGCTTCCAGCACCACCACCTTTCTGCCAAAGATTTGAAGGCTGGGAGAAAAAGCCTGTGGTCCCAGGCCATAGCAGCCCGCCGTGGGTGGCTTCGGCTCCCCCCGCAGCTTCCCCAGCACTGCAGGACCGAGAGGTGCTCCCCCAAGCAAACGGCTCCCGCTGATGCAGCCCCTTCCCGCGCCTGGCGCCGCCGGTGCGTGTGCCGCTACCCCCTTACTGCCCCGCCCTGCGCCAGGCCCGCCGCCCTCTCGGGAAAGGCGGCGGCGGCGGCACCGGGCGGAACTGACAGGCGGGAAAAGCTTCCGAAAACCGCCGGTCTCGGGCTCCGCCGCCTCAGGCTGTCGCTGGGCTGAAGCGTTCGGAGGGCCTCTCTGTTGGCAACCGCGACTCGCTTCGCACCGCCCCCTTCCTCGGCCGGGGCCGGCCCGGTGCAGAAACGGCAAATAAACTGGTGTCTAGTTCCAGGTTGAATTCCTGTGCTCAGTTTCCAAAGCAGTCGTTGAACCGATGGAAACGGCAGTAACCGGTGCTGGTGGCAGCCTGGGCTTGTAGAGGCCAGCTGGCCGGAGCTGGCTACTTAAATCAACCCCGGGGCCTCGCGTGACCACTGGTTCTGTCGTTTGCTGGCGTCTGGCCGCATCTTCCCTTTAAACATGCATAGTTTTATGTGCATACGTGTATATGCGTGCGTATGCAAACATATATATGTATGTTTACAGGAGGAAAAGCATCACTTCTCTTCCAAATGACTGGCTGAAGCCTTAGAGCATGAGAGTTTATTTTAGCCATTGTGTGAATGTAGGCGAGCAAGTGTCGACAGCTAATTGTAATATTGAATATTTAACTGTGTTGTACTTCCCCACAGGGCTGTTGTATGTTAGATGCTTGTCTTTGGGTGCTACATATAGATTTGTGTTTGTAAGTATGTGTGTATATATAAAAACCTGCACTATAAACAATTTATAACTAACTATAGTTATATCTCATTATACATATATGTAGATATAAATTAATTATAGTGCGCTTTAAGTTTTTAAAGTGACATTTTAACAATATTTAAGCTTTGTCACCTCTCAGTGGTGCTGTGTAATTATACAGAGCAGGGGGAAAAGCCAGATGGAGCATTCAAACCTTTTACAAAAGTAGTCTGGAAATCAGGAGGTTATACATGAATACTAGTAAGGGGAGATAATTTTAGGTAACCTGTTAGATGTACTAGAAAAGTTGAGAAGTCAAGATGGTGGTAATAGTTTGATTTCAATTTGAGTAAGGATGTGGGAAGTAAGTTTTGATGAAGGGGATAATACAGACTTTTATGGGAGAGGGGAAAAAACCACCAGAACTTGGCAAACCTTTGATGGGAGAAGTGAGAACAATAGACAAGTACAGAATTCAGAAGTGTAGGGTTGAATGGGAGAACAGTGGAGTCAGCAAGAAACAACGAGGGTGGGGAAGGATTGACTGGATTTTGATGATCTTGTAAAGGAGAAAAAGATCCTGGATTCATGTATCAAGTAGAAATCATGAATAGCCTGTCTTTGAGCATGTAAGACCTGGGCGGGGGGGGCAGCTGCTGAAGGATGTCCTGAAAAAGTCCAGAGAAGAGCTAGTCTGAAAAGGGATGGTTTGATCAGGAGCTGTGTTCAGTGCTTTGAGAATCAAGTCCTTCTATTTATCCGGGGAAGAGTTTGTAAAGAACTTCTTTTTTCCCTGTTTGATCCTCCCCACGTGCTGGAAGAGTTCTCAGGCTGTTGTCTTAGTTACAGTATCCTTTACCACTCAGCATTGTTATCTCCATCCTGTCTTAGCATCTGCCTTGCCTTGCTCTATATAATTCTGTTAAAATCAGTGAAAGATGTGCGGTGGGGTTTTTGTGTGTAGCAGTGGTTCACACTCGTTAAAGCAGCAGCTTCTCTGCTTTGAAGAAGCTGAGGCTGGAGAACCAATTGCTGCTTTGTCTGTTGTCAGAGCTGCCCAGCACTGGGCTTCTGCTTTGCCTCTGTTGAAATTAGCTGTACTTTCCTGTTCAGTTTGTGTCCTTACCTGAACTGGTCCCCATTCCCAATGTTGGAGAAGAAATCTGTAGGTATACAGACTGTCGCTTTAGCTGATGTATTCCATAATTTATTTCAGAGTGTTATGACCTACTGGAAGGTGATGGCTCCTTGAAAGGTGCGGCCTGGGATGCTCTGTGCCAAGGTCATTTTAACATCATAACAGTTATAAAAACAATTCTGAGAAGTCATGTGAAACATAGGGGGAAAATTAATCACTTGGTATGTGAGTCACTAGCTAATTAGACCAAGACTTATTACTCCAAGTGGAGTCTATCAGTTTAAAGTGGCCTGAAGTGCTCATGCCAGCTAGCAAAATCTAAATGTTTCCATATTCACTGAAGAAGCTAGGATCAGGCAGAGAGCAAGTTTAGCCGAGTGATACCAGGAAGGAATCACAATGATTCTTTCAGGGAAAAAAGTAACAGGAAACAGCCCTGTGAGGCATCTCTGGGCCTGTAGGTGCCTCTCTGAGGTACTGTAGTGAAGAGATGGACACACAGCAGTTCAGCAGAATCTCAGAGGAATCTCAGTATCTTAGTGGCTTCTTCCTCACATTAGAGCTCTTTCCCCATTTCTTAACCTAAAGGACAGAAGGGTTGAGCGATACCACTTTTTTTCCTTAATTTGGCAGCAGTCGTGGAACACAGACTTAGCACCTTTTGTGGAAGAGAGATGCAGATGTGTTTTTTCACAAAGATTTATTTTAGGACAGGCCTTCTAAACTTTTTTTTAACCTTACAGTAAACTGAGCAAATAAAATTGGCTGTTTCTGCTTCAGTCTGAGGCTTTTCCTCTTTCTTAACAAGTTATTGTCTGGCATGCTAGGAATACCTTTAACCACCTTTTTTTACAAACCACCCAGGAAAACATTAATGGGCAGAGGGGAGCTCAGGTCACTTGATGCTGTATATTTGATTGATTTCATATTATCTGGGGCACTATGAAAAGAGGGAAGGATTTGATCAATATGGGAACTAACATGGGTGCTGAGGATTGTGGTGCTTTAGATGCTTGACCAAGTGGAGTTAAGTTGAAGTTTGTCTTACTGATCCCAGTTTATGGCTGGCTCTACACAAACCAGATCTGAGTTAGCAGGGGGCCAGTGCTGCACCAAGATAAAGCGTTGTAGCCTTCACGATGACTCTGCAGGCCGTGCAGGGCTCCCTGCTTTCCTTTCCCCAGCCAGACCTGAGGCAGGGGCTCTAGCAGGCCCTGCTGGAAGCCAGTCTTGCAGGACTGCTGGTCTGGGATAGTTGGTCCCTGCAGTGGGCTGGCAAAGGGTAGCTGCGTGGCACTGTGCTGGAGCTCCTGTGCGCTGCCAGACGGACAGTGGCTTAGCAGCAAATCAGCCTGACTGTCTGCATATTCAGCACAGCTAATCATAACCCTGTTAAACTGTCTGTCAGTCACTGAGTTGACCATGCACTAGTATCTGAGAAGCCAAATCCATCAATAAGTTTGGATAATTAAACTGCCAAGGGGCTGACTCCAGACCTGTTAGCAGTTTTGACAATATGAATTGTTCACTGAATATGTATTTGTACCCTACAGCACTCAGTCCTGTAGATGGTGTGGCAAACTTAAAGTATTTCTTTGATCCTTGATGTCTATGTTGTATTATCACACACAGCTCCACAAATAATTTTGATATTTAAGATCAGTTGTATTCCATCCTGCTTGCCCTGGTGCAGCTGAAATCAGGGCTTATAAGCAAACTTCCCTTCAGATACCGAAGATGTGAATGGAATCTTAATTTTTACCTCTTAATCTTAGCTGCTGGATGAGGGTGCTTTGAGCTGTTGGGTAACTGCTGTTCCAAACCAGTCAACTGCATTTCAGTCATGGTTAGTGTCATGTTTTCCTATAGCTTTTACAGGGTTCTTAGGTTCTCCAGATGTGCAGGTTTGATGCTAGAGAAATGTATTATAAACAATAAGGAAAGCAACTAGAATATCTTGAAATGTGTTTTTAGGAAAGTTACACTGAGATAGGAGTTCAGTCAATGATTACATGGGTATGAAGTGAAATGTCACCAGAAGGTGGAATTCCTGGCTCACTCAAGGCAGTAGAAATTTTGCCATCGAGGTAAATTCTGCCCTTCTGCAGTTCAAAGGCTCCATAGCCTTAAAACAAACAAACAAACCCCAGATGCTGCATTCATGACTGTAGGAGTAAACATCATGGGATGTTTTTCATCGTATCCAGTAGCTGCCTTTGACCTTCTTGTAGCAAATTTTAGTGAATGAATCTTTAGAAATCTGCTCCTTCTTAAAGAGGACGAGAAGGTCAAAATAGCTGGAGCCACAACTGAAAACTAAGTGCGTCAGGTTTAGCATCACTCCACAGGAAAGCATCCTGTAAGGAGACAAAGCAAAGAAGGCTGTAGGTGCCCTCCCCACCTCCCTGCCACGCACAGTATGGGAAGGTGGCAGGCCTGCAGTCTGGAGCGTGGGAATGGTGGGTTCCATCTCTGATCCAGGTCTCATGGGAAAACCAAAGTCCTTCTAGAGTGGGTCTGTCTTTTTGCAATACTGATAGTTCCTCTTCTCTCTGACAGGGAAACTGTACTCTGGCAAGATGCTCTCTGTCTGGTGAGTCTTACACTTTTATTTCATTTCAAGCTACCTAGACAGAACAGAGCTGATGATGGAAATTGGTAATAGGTTTGATTGGGGTTTATTTCTGTCAGTCATGTAATGAAGAAACAGTGGGTGAAATGAGCTGTGTTTCCATGTGAGTGCTTCCCTTGCCTAATGGACATGCTGCCCAATCCATTCCGCTCTGGTGAAGATTTCACAGCAGCAGCACAGTGTATTTCAAGCATTGCAGTGCTTGAAACACATGCTGTTGCAGAGCCTAGCTCTGTAACAAACTCCTTTGAAAATGATGGGTGAATGTTAAGTGACATATCAAATCTAGTGTGATTGTGAACTCCTCTTCAGTGCTTAAACTGGATTTTCCCAGATCTCTCTTTTTTCCTAGCTGTACTGTGTTTATATAGCATTACATCACTCACTTCTGCTTGCACTTTGAGACACCAGTTAGATCTGCTTACCTTTTCTGTTTCTAGAGTTCCAATATCAGCTCTTTAGTAGGGGATATGGTGTCAAAATTGTGTCGCTTTTTTTTAAAATCAAGTGGGGAAATGGTTCTTCCTTCTGGCATTGTGTAATTGAGATAATTATGTTCTCCAGTTGCTACGCTGGCTCTCTTTAAGATCAGTCTGGAAAACTGCCCAATGCCCTGAAAGAGACAAAGGACAGGAGTTCAGTTCATAATAAAAATTGCGGTGTCAGGGCATGTGAGCAGTGTGGGAAGGGGACAGTGAGTTATGTGAAACTGAGAAGCCATGCAAGTACCTCCCTGCTGTGAGTTTTGGAAACGTTCTTGGGACAGCAGGTGGACAGAGAAGAGGGATGATGATGGCTTGCTACTCTGCTCTACACCCTGTTTTCATTCTTTTTTTCTCCTTACCTGTCCATGCAACTGAGGCTTCCTGGTGATGCCTCTTAGGGGACTGATGCCTTTCTCCTATTAGAAACCCCTTTGTATTGGTGAGGATAACTCAGCAGCAGCTATGATTTTAGCAGTCCTGGAGGTGTCCCTCATAGCTGTTTCCTGGTTTTGTTCTGACTGGGGTAGCTGCTGCTTTGTTTGCCCCATTTCAAAGTTATCCTTATTAGCTTTGAGGTCAAGATATAACTGGTTTTGCCATGTCTATAAATCTAGATGAAGGCAAGACCACAGCTCTTAGCAAGCTAGGGGCAGATTTGATGGTGCTGAGGTGCCTCTATATGACTGTGTTCCCCACTTAGTCCCAAGCTTCTTTCAGGGTGGATAGGAGTGTTATCTGCACTCTTACCTGACAGGGACACTTGAGGGCTGGACAACGTTCCTGTGGGGTAACACCATTCTCATTCACAGGTGTGGCTGGGAGCCAGGGATTGGCTTACACCAACAGCAGGAAGCTTGTGTAAGTATCCCCAGGAAAGCTATGATGTGGAGAGGCTGGGGCTGCTCTAGCTCTGATAAGATTTGGGGGCTGGGAGGAAGAATATGGTTGGCTGTCATAAAATCCCTGTGCATGTTGTAGGAGCGTGGAGCTAGCCCTAACAAAATCTAGGTTTTGCAGGTCAGGAACTATGGCATGCTTAAAGAAAACAAGCTTCGTTTGGAATCAGACACCGAGGCAGGGAAAGAACAGGAATGAGGAGACTGGTGACAAGTGCATCTCTACCTTTTGATTATCTGACTAGAAGTGTTGTTCGCTCTATGGTGGCCTCTTGGTAGGATTTTTGTCAGAAGTGGGGTGGTTCAGGGAGCTGTCATTCATATGGCAAGGTTTGCATTGATGAGGTGGTCTTGTGAAAATGTATTTGGGGAAATAACCTTAACAGCACACGCATAAAAGCCTGAAATGCTGGTCTGTTTGCACCAAGTAGCCTGTGTTAGAGGAAATACTAAATCATGTTTGCTTCAGGTTTCCAAATGTGGTGTCAGTAGGTGTGAAAAACATCCTTTGGAACACTTGGGATTGCCAGCTCCCTGTGAAGAGACATGGTGGAAATAGCTTGTCTCTTGGATATGTTGCAATAGGCAATTTATGATGCTTTCTCTTTTTGGAGCATTCTAGCAACTTCTGTAGAGAAGTCAGTCCTGTTGTGGAGGTAAAAAATGGTTACTGCTCTAGTCTTGGGCATAGGGTGGGCTGGCTAGGTCAGCCTTTTATCAGTATTTAAACCACAGGGGTTCTGTTGGGTTGTCTCCCTAAATTAAAATTCCATAAATGTCCTTTCTCACTGAGTTTCTGAGAGTGCTAGTGATGGTAAGCTGTAATGTTTTCTTTCTTAGTGGGGATTGTTGCAGCTTGAACTGCAGGAGTCCCTTGGAACAAATACATCAGAACAGCTGAGCAGCCTTTCAGATCAGTTAAGCAAATGTAAATTCTGTACTTGAGCTTGGTGCTGGCAGCCTGCAGAGGAATGTACTTCTGTGTTCATATCTTTCTCTCTTTTTGCAGAGTAAATGGCTCCGGTGTCTTCACTGTCCGTTACTTCAGAACCACTGCAGTACATAGTAAGTAAAAAGACAGGAGTCAGCGAGATGGCTCTTGTGCTACTTGTTGCTGTCCTGACAACAGCTGAAGCTACTTCTTCATCCTTAGTCTAGGCCCACTGCTGTCCTGCCTTGATGGATGGGTGAGGGTTTATGTTCCAAGGCCCTAAAGATTTTGTCGGGCATTCATGTCACAGTGTGATTTTCAGTCAGATGGGAATTTCTCTTGTATTGAAGCAAGGAGAAAGCTTGATGTCTGTTGTCCTACCCCCTCTAGTAGAGTCCTGCCGACAAGAATGAAGCAATGCCATAAATTTTGAGCTCTGAATGTCTTCAAGTCTGTCTGTCTCTCTCACAGGGGATGATGTGGTTACAGTGAACACCCCAGCCTTTGCAGAGTCAGTCACAGAAGGAGATGTCAGGTGGGAGAAAGGTGAGCAGTTGCCTCTTCCCTGAAACTCTGCTCTGGACTGCTCAGGGATGGATTGTAGTTCACTGACTGACATTCTGCTCTGTGCCTTTCAGTCTGTGACAAATGAGACAGTTAACTGCAGTTCTCCTAAGGAGTAAAAATTGAAGTTACTGCCTCAGCACCTCTCTGTTATGGGTGATGCTGGATGTCTAAACTGGAATCGGACATTGTGCAGTAGACTGGTTGTTTGAGCTAGACTTTTCCTTAGAAGTTGTGGAAAACTGGGGTGAGAAAATTCTGGGTTGGTGGGGAAGACTGCTGTGGGTTAAGAGGGGAGGCTGGAGCACACCTCCCTCCTCACAGTGGTGTTCATATCTATCATTCAGCTGTTGGAGACACAGTGGCAGAAGATGAAGTGGTGTGTGAGATTGAAACAGACAAGGTAGGAGTTTTCTGGACCAAAACTTTTTCTAGTTCTGTAGCAGATGCCCTGTATGGCTCCTCTCCCACTAAGAGCTCCTAGAGCCTGCAGGCCCTGCCCGTGTTTCCTGCTCCCTTCATGGAGAAAAGCTTTTCTCATATAGTATTGAGGTTGGCTGTGCCTTAAGTGAGAATTCTTTGATAACTCTTCCTTCCTCATACATTTGATTAAGCATCAGGGGTGCCGATGTTTGTTGGAGCTGCAATTCCACTCCTTCAAATCTCAGTGTCCTAAGCTGTTTGTGTTTAAACAGAGGAGAAATCTGCAGAGCCATAGGATGTCTTCGGATTGTTTAAATTTAGCCTTTAAGTTTACTCGCTCCTTAAAGGACTCTTAAGCTTTTAAGTTCTTACTAAAACTCCCTGCCAATTTCTGCTTCTGTTGTTGCTGTCAGGAGGATGGTGGCAGCCAGTTAATTCTTGATTGTACCCTGGAGCAGGAAGATCAGGCTGTATGTTATACTGCTAGCATCTCCTAAAACTTCTCAGTATTGGCACAAAATCCTTGTAGAGGGTGTGAAGACTGGTGCAAATGATGCAAGACGGAGCTGCTGCCTCTGCCAAATTACAATGTGTATCTGCACATATTGGCACCTTCTCTTGGGCACTTGTTCTCCATCCAGTGTTTGGGGGAATTTCATTGATTTTCCTTTTTGCAGACATCAGTGCAAGTTCCAGCCCCAGCGGCTGGTGTGATTGAAGCCCTTCTGGTACCTGATGGTGGCAAAGTGGAAGGGGGGACACCCCTGTTCAAACTCAGGAAAACTGGAGGTAAGTCAGGCATGTATAACTTGCACAGGCCTTCCTGTTTCCACTGATGTTTTTTCTGAAGCAGAGGGATCCTGAGAGAGGTTAAATGTTTCCTCCATCTGCCTCTGTAGCTGGAAGAAAATACTCCAATCTTGTCCATTAGAAATCCTCCTGAGGATAGAACTTTACTTTCGCTCCCTCTGGAGGAGACTGCAGCTCTAAGCTAAAATTAGTTGAGAATTCTCCTGATATTTAACTCCCTTCTCTGCCCACTTCTCTTTAGCATCCAGTCTTCTGCACAGGGAGATCTAGGGTGTCAGTGAGTAAAACACTTTCACCGTGGGATTCTCTTGTGGTGGCTCCGATGAGTTCAGTAGTGCTGAGAACATAAAGGCACTTGGTCAGATGGTTAACTTTTATAAAGTTGTTTGGAATCAGGAGATCCCTGACAGTGGAAGCTGTCAGTTGCCCTTACCATGGTTATTCTTTGTCTTTCAGCTGCTCCTGCCAAGGCCAAACCAGCAGCAGCCCCTCCTCCTCCTGCAGCCCCTGAACCGGTAGCTGCAGCTGCTCCTCCCCCTGCTGCAGCACCAATTCCCACTACAATGCCACCAGTGCCATCTGTGTCAGCTCAGCCTATTGACAGCAAACCAGGTGAGGCAACAGCTGTTTTCTCCTGTTTTCAAGTCTCTCCTTGGGGAGAGTGTGTAAGGTTAGGGACGCAAACAGTCTGGCATTTATGGTGAAGGCCTCCCTGCATCACTGCCCTGCATGCTCCAGACTGGAGAGCTCAGCTATGCCTGGAACCTGCCTAGCCTGATTCAAGGCTGCTTCTGTGCTGTGTTGCTTGGGCAAAACAGGCGTTTTACCTCAGGGCATTGTGATCAAGCCCCGGCTTCCCTTTTTGACTGATGTGTTCTTTACCCTCAGTGTCTGCAGTGAAGCCGGCTGCAGCCCCAGCAGCAGCCCCTCCTGGGGAGGCAGTGCCCAGCAAAGGTGCCAGATCAGAGCACAGGGTAAGCTGTGGGAATAGGGGCCTTGCTAGCACTTCCGTTGCTGGGTGACAGTCTGTTCTGGCGTAAGCCTTGAGCCTTCCGGATGTGTCCATATCTACTGGTTCACATCCAGCTCAGTGGGCCTGTCACAGATGGGGAAATTCTCTACATGACAGCACCACTTAGGGGTGGAAGAAGAGCCAGGTCCGATCTGACACAGGTCTTTTCTAGGCAAAAATCTTGTCTTGAGCTCTGCTGACTGATCTGCTTGATCTGTCCACAAGTCCTCAGCAAAGGGTTGAGGCTGCTGCAGCTGCCTTGTGCATTCTTAAGAGAACATGGTTAAGCAGCTGCTCTCTTAGCAGTCTTGCTCTTCTCACATTAGCCTTATGCTGAAATCCTACACATGCTTGGAGGTCCTGAGGAACACACAGGTCAGAAGTATATTGTGATACTGTGTGTTCAGCTGGGCAGCTCCGTAGTGAAATCAACTCAGCCTGTCATGCTCCTCAGGGAGACCTGGAGTGGAAACCTTGGCCCTAAGCTGTCTATTACTAGTCAACCAGATGGCAAGAAGAGGGGCCTTACGAGTTTTGTGCATTTTGCACCTTGGTTGAGCTTGAGGCAACTTCTGCTTATATCTTTTTAATTTTCAGGTGAAGATGAATAGGATGCGTCAGCGTATTGCTCAGCGGCTGAAAGAGGCTCAGAATACTTGTGCCATGCTGACCACTTTCAACGAGATTGATATGAGGTGAGGAGCAGACCTTTTCCCTTTACAAGTAGAAATAGATGCAGGCAGTCACCTTTAAATAGCGGTCAAGACCTTGCTGATTCTCTCTGGAGAGATTAGCAACATGTCTTTTGGGACCTCTTTCTTAGGTGTGTACTACAGACTGCGCAGCTTCATCAGGGCCATGTTGGTGTTGCACATACTGCATAGCTTCCTAATGGCCTGTCATTCCTCAAGAGTCATCTACTGCTTGTAAAAGGGGCAGTCTGGTTCCTCATCTGTGTGGTTCGTGATTGAGGACTGGTAGATGTTGAGCAGAAGACCAGGAGTGGCTAGTATCACTTGTATAGTGGCTACTAGAAGACAGCAAGATGTAGCATCTGCTTTCCACCACCCCACCAGGTTACTCTGCTTTTGGAGGTGGGCATATTTAGCTTGCAATGAGGTGGTTCCGCAGGGCTCATTGGCCTTCCAGGTGAGCGTTATATAGGTCTGAGGCCTTTGCTGTCAGATGGTGTAGCTTTCCAGAGATGGACTAGCATCCTTCCCCATCCCCTCCAGGCAGGTGGGGGTCTCCTGACTCAAATGCTTGCATGGACTGAATGCACTAATGGCTTTGGAGGGTGGGCAGCTTATGTTACAGTGCATTAAGGGGAAATTGTACCCAAATCAAATTGCCTTGTGAAATCCTATTCTGCTCCTTAAGACAAAACATGTAAATATTTGGGTCTCAGAACAATAAGGTTGGCAAAATAGTCTTGATTGGAGGGGAAGTGCTGCAGCTTTATCTCCTCTCAGAGGCTCATTGAGGTGTCGCTTTACGCTGGCCTGGGGCTCTCATTGCATGTGGTAATCTGGTTTGGATTGATTGCTGTGCGGTTGACTCGTGAGGACCTGTGCTGGGGCCTCCTGCTTCCCGTGGGGGGTCAGTGTCTGAAAGGAGGAAGCCATAATGAGCCAGTTTCATAGCAAACCTTGTCCTCATTGCTGCAGTCCTTGTGTCTTGGGAGGCACTAATGTCTTTGGGCAGTAATCCTAGCCCTAAACAAGGTTAGACACAGGAAAACAAACACTCTAAACCATGGAGACCCCTGCCCCTTGCTGAAACTGTCTCTTCAGAGACTTGAGGTCTCTGGAGGGGGGAAGGATGGACCGTGTAATTCCACAGCATCTGGTATTAGCCTGGAATAGGCAGAGCTTGTAGCTGCAGCCTGGTTGACTTTTTGTAAATTGCCTCAGTTCTGATAAATAGAAGCAGTTGGGAAACATGATTAGTCTGGCTGAAGTCTGTGGGTGGGCTGGCACCCACTACCATAGTATCTGGGAAGATTTCTTTCATATGACTCCCAAAGCTGGAGAGTTGGGTATGGAGGTATTGTTCTGACTGGCGCTGGACTTGCACAATGATTGAAATCTTCTGTTGATCACTGCTTGCATCTTTTCTGCTCTTGGCATTTCACGTTTTGTCACCCTTCCAGGGCTGTTGGCCCAACCACACAACAGTTGCTGTCTGTGGTGTTGTATCAGCACTGGTGTCTCCAGAGAATTGGTGGCAACATCAGGTGTAAGCAGGAAATATGCCATGCCCCATCTTGCTTTTGTGCCTGGCAGGTTAATCCTGTCCTGCTGAGTTTGTGGTCCAGGACCAGTTCCTGTTAGATCCTTTGTCAGGGGCCTTAGAGCCACCTTCAGCCCACTTCACCTATGACATTTGAAGCATTTTTCAGTAGACTGGGGGTTTGCTGGTTGGTGGTACAGGTTTGTGGTCCTTGGGGCTGGCTCTGAGATCTATTACAGAGCAAGTGTTTTCTTGAACTCTTTGCTGACCAGCATTATCATGTGTTTTGCAGCAACATCCAGGAGATGAGAGCTCTACACAAGGATCCTTTCCTGAAGAAGCACAACCTGAAGCTAGGTTTCATGTCAGCTTTTGTGAAAGCTGCAGCTTTTGCTCTGCAGGACCAGCCCGTTGTGAATGCAGGTGAGTGGTGACCCTTGCTGCTGAGTTGCATGTCTGACTGGTGAATGTGGCAAAGTTGGGGAAAGCAGGTGGCCAAGTCTATGGCAGGGGGCTAATAGCTTCAACAAGCAAATCAAATATACAGACAAAAGGGGGACAGTCCTACATGCTTCAGCTTATTTTGCTAATGCCACTATGTAGGTGGAGGACAGCTTTCCAAGAGGGGCCCTACTAGGAAGGGGTCACCAGGAGTGTGTATGCCAGCTGTGTGTACACAACTCACAGGGGGCAGAGCCTGCCGGCTGGTGTTAAGGTAGCTGCTGTAGGTGCAGTGCAGTTCGTGGGGGGTGTCAGAGGTGCTTGCTCAAACTCAGAAGAGAAAAATAACCAAGGGGATGTCTGAGGGGGACTGACCTGTCTGGGCTGTGTTTCCTTTCTGTCTGTCCTGATGCTTCTCCCACAGGTGCAGTAAGTAATTGTTATGTTTAAGCTAGAGATGAGCAAGTTGTTACAATTTTGTGGCTACTTCTGACCTGTTGAGCCCTTGATCTTGGGTACTGCATGTGTAACCCGACTTTTTTCTCCTTCTAGTGATTGATGACATGACCAAAGAGATTGTGTACAGGGACTATGTGGACATCAGTGTCGCTGTAGCAACTCCCCGGGTATGTACCTTGGATGCTTTGGCCATGCTTCCTGCAGCCTCGGGATGGTCATTTACTTTGAGCCAACTCAGCTTTGAGCTCCACTGCAGCAGAAACTTACTGATACGACTGACTTTCTAAATGAGACATCTGATACGTTGTGGACTGCTGAGACGAGTGGTTTTGGGAGAAGATGGAGGACCAAGAATATTCTGCTCCTGTACTAGGAGATGTAGTAGCAAAGTCAATATAGATCTAGTTAATGACTAGGGCCAAGTTAGGGAAACTGTTTTTTTTGTGGACCCATGAGGATATTGCATAGACAGTAAAAGCTTTGCATGTCCTGTCCTTTGGCTAACATTGCTGTGCTGTTCCACCATTTCTGTAAATGACGTTGCTGCTTCAAAGAGATCTTCTTGTCCAGGGAGAGTATGGAATGGCGATACAGACATTGAATTAGTTGGCTCTGTTGTGAGGCAGAGGTTTGGCCAGGACTGAAGTTTTCACACTCTCCTAAAGTCTAGGGGAGGTCCAACATAAAGGGATTCCCCTCTTCTTGTGGAGAAAGAAGTCACAGCTGAACTCTGCCCAGTGCTTCACCTGCTTTTGTGGACATGGAGAGAACTAGTTGATTTTGTAAGACTGGCTTACAAAGGCAAAGATGATGTCTCATTGACGGCATCAGCCCTTGGTGTGTGTCGTGCCAGGTTTCCTGGCAGGCCGCCAGGGTGTGAGACAGCTCTGCCAACCACCTGCTGTGTGCTGAGGAGGAGGCAGTAACTCTGCTGGGATGAAGCCAGGCTCCTGCCCACAGTTATCTGTGTTTCGGTGTGGTGAATTTGCTGATCATGCACTTTGCTTCTTCCTAGGGTCTTGTGGTCCCTGTCGTTAGGAATGTTGAAAACATGAACTATGCTGACATAGAACGTGTTATCTCTGAGTTGGGGGAGAAGGTAAGAAAGGTTGGAGTTTTTTCTGAAAAGAGTTGTGAGGAATTGGGGGTGCTGGACAGGCAGGAATTGATTCAGTCCCTCTATGTCATCATCTTTGACCTCTAACACTCTGGGTTGTGCTGTGGGGCATGATCAGCCACATCTGTAGCTGTGCCTTGTGCCTTACAGGACAGGCCTGTCTACTTGTTACCGTTCTAGAAGACTGCAAACTATGCATTAGTGACATGGTGTATCTTCACCTTTGCCTTTAGAGGCCAAGGCTGAGCTGCCCTGGGGTAGAAGTCGCTCTGTGTGTCCCCTGCAAAAGCAGGAGTTGGAAGTGAAGGCAAGAGAATCCTTCCCCAAAGCCAGTAAGCGTTAAGATCTAAATACAGGAAGCATTTTCAAGTAATTTGTGCTGGTTTGAACAGATCAGTAAGTGAAGTTTTTGCCATCAGCATTTATTCCTAGAGAGAGTGAATGTCCAAATACTTGTCCTTTGCCTTCTGTGATCTGTGGCTTTCTAACACCTTACTCTTCTTTCTAGGCACGGAAGAATGAACTGGCCATTGAAGACATGGATGGTGGCACTTTCACAATCAGCAACGGAGGGGTTTTTGGGTCACTCTTTGGAACACCTATCATTAACCCGCCCCAGTCTGCCATCTTGGGCATGCATGCCATTGTCAACAGGCCTGTGGCTGTGGGAGGCAAGGTAGGTGGAGCTGCACAGGAGGTTTCGATCAACAGAGGGGAGGGCTCAGTGAGATGAGGACCATAGCCCATATGCTTTTTCTAGCAGGTTGGTGTCAACTTCTGAAAGGCTTTAATGTGAAAGAGGAGCAGAGACTAGCGGGTATAGGGCTGGCACTGGTACTTGCCTGAGGTGTGCAGGGGGCTGTGTCCTATTCATGAGGGGTAGAACTGGATAATCTGCTTAAGTGTGGGGAGGAGGAGGAGGAGGAGGCTATAGCCTTTGTGGTAGAGAACAGCTCCAGAAAGGGATGCAGTCTTGTGTGGTGAGGACCCAGCCCAGGTAGTGAGCAGTGCCTGGCTGATTGAGGGGATAGGCAATCCTGCCAGGTGGAACACATCCAGGAGGGCCTGAGCCCTGGATTCAGGACAAGAAGAAGCCAGGTCTTCCCCAAATTCACAGGAGGGCATCATGGTGCTGAGCTCACTAATGTCTGTCTTATTCCTCCCCTTCAGATCGAGGTGCGGCCCATGATGTATGTGGCTCTGACGTACGATCACCGGCTGATTGATGGCAGAGAGGCAGTGACTTTCCTGCGCAAGATCAAGGCAGCGGTGGAGGATCCCCGCGTGCTGCTGCTCGACCTGTAGAGCAGCCACACCCCCACACAACCCACCCAGGGCAGGGCCACAGCACCAGCAGGGGTAATCCAGGGCATTCAGGAACTGGCAGGGGTCATTCCAGTCTCCCTCCCTCCGCTGTGATCTGAGCTGTCCCAGAGGGAATTGTGGGGATAGCTCCTACCTCCTTTCCTATTCTGTTTAACAAAGGTTCAATTTCTCACGAGGATTGCTACCCAGTGGGCCAAACACTGAATGGCGCTGCCTTTCCAGAACCATCTGTATGGCGTCCTCTCCCTCACAGCACCAAACTCTCACCTCTAGCTTGTCCTGTACCACTGGAAACTGCTTGCTGCTACTGTGCTAGGGTACCTTTCCCTGCCACTCCAAGGCGGGTTCAGCTTTATTTCCTAGCACCAAGGTTCCTGGGAGGGAGAGGAGAGGAAAGGCTACTGTTCTTTCCCTGTTCTGCTTGAAAATATTTCACACTCATCTGCCTTGCAAGGGCAGTCTGGGGACCCCAGGCCACTTGCAGCAGAGGTTTTGATCAGAGCAGGGCTCGAGGTAGGTGTCTTGCCTCTGGCAGTGCCCTAGTTACACTCCCTCCACAGACAGGATTGCAGCGGTGGCAGTTCCCCTGCTTTCCCTTGGAGATTGTTTGTCTCTCTCCATCCTGGTCACTGTGGTGTGAATGTTCATGTCCGGGTGGGCAGAGCACTGTTCCTGGGGGGACAACCCTTTCACCATTACATGCCCAACACAGGGGCAAGAACCAGCCCCCAGCGGCTGTCCTTGAATCACAGCTCACTGATGGTGGGTCTGACTGCTGGCTTCCTGCGTGCGGGGCTTGGCCTGCTATCAGCAGGGAGACAGCTGGGGAGGGCCAGGCCTTTAATGTATATCCCAGCCCAAGGCTGCTGTTTTTGGGGGGAGGGGGGCAGTCCTTAATCTGATAGCGCACACATGTACTGGGGAGTGAGGGGGTTGCTAGTGCCTGCAGAGTCTATTACTCTTACCCTCTACACAGAACTTGTAACTAAAATATTTAACACAGCGGATTTTAAATGAAATAAAACTGGGCAACGACTGCGAGGTGGGGTGTGTTTGAGGGGGTGAGCAGCAGCTCCTGGTCAAGGACTTGGGCATCAGCAGCATGTAGTGTAAGAAGTCTGTTACCTAGTGGTGAGAGAAAGGGAAATGGGAGCTGGGCCTATTGCTGGTGGTGGTAAATTGAGGCTTCTCTGGTTGTGTCCTCAAACCCTCTTTGGCACAGAACTGGCTCTTCCCAGCAAACATGATGTTTTCAGGACTGGATATCATCCTTTTCTTGGTCTAGCAACAGAACTGTTACAGATGGTGAGGAAATCTCAGTGTTTGTTAAATGCCATGATGGCCAAGAGGGAGACCTGGGACAGGCTTATGAAGTACAGGTGTGGAGCCAGGCTGTATTTTCCCTGCTACAACAGGGGAGAGTTGCAAATCATGCAAGTGGGGAAAAAGGCTGTTAAGAGTAGCGGAGGGAGAAAGGAGGCATGATCAAAGAACTGTAAAGCAAAAGTTGTTTGTGGTGCTGAGAGCATTTCCCCAAGGAGCTGTCCTTGCTGGAACAATATGAAATTGTTCCTGGGTCGTGGCAGGGTTTTTCCAGCTCTGACATCAACTATAGAGAATGTTTTGCCCTTCCCGGCTGTGAGTGAAGAGGGCAGCCCTTTTTAAGAGAAAATGATTGCACTCACAGCTGGCATGCTGATGAAAGGGAGAGTAGTTCCTTGTACTGGTTTGTGTGACTTCCTGGCAGCTGTGGACAAACCAGTGCATGGAGTCAGCTTTCCTCTGATTGTCCCTGGTTGAGGTAGAAGGTTAGGAGGAGAGGAAAAACCCCTTCCCTGTACTGGAAAGGAAGGGCAAAGAGTCTAGCTGCTCTTGCACAAATAAATTGAAAGAGGATTGTGGTTTAAAAAGTGCTGCTACCACCCAGCTGTCCATGCTGGTTTACAGAGGGCCCACCCTGATGGTGTATATGAGCCTGGGGAAGGGCAATGCCTATGTTCTGTCTGGAGTCACAGTAAATGCAGCCTTTGAACTAACCAGGGAGTGAATGTACAATCAAGTGCTTAAAATGATGCAGCCCAGCAAACTGCTTAATCTGCCCCGTTGGGGTTTGCTGAAGGAGGGTCATGCAGTTTCATTAAGTTTCCTGGGTTTTGACCCTCCTGGGTTATGCCCATGTCACTGGTTGCAAGGAGCCATGCTATGGCTTTGGCCACAGGGTTGGTCCTGCTGAACTGAATCACAGGACTAGGAGGCTGGTGGCCAAGGGTGCAAGCCTGCTACTGGAAGGTTCAGCCAGTGCAGGCTGCCCTAGAGAGTAGAAACCCCAGGCTTAGCTGCGCCTGCTGTGGCATTAGTGGTTGGCTCCCTGGTTAGTTAGTCCTCTCACCTCTGCACAGCCTTTGAGGTGTCCCCTGCCCTTGCTGGGATGGGAGGTGAGTTTCTCCCGGACTCTACTTCCCTCTGGTGGGCAAGCACTCCTAAATGCCCGACAGTGAGCAAGGAGCAGGCTGGTCCTGCTGGTGGCAAGCAGGAGCTGGTACCAGCTAGCCACAGGAAAGTTTCACTGGTGCCAGTAATTCCTTACTATTGGAGATGAGTGAGCAATGGGAGGGAGTGTGGAGAGAGGAGGGCCAAAACTGCACCGCTGCCATTGCTAGCTTGTCCGTCAGCCCATGGCTTTGACTTGCACAAATGAGCACAGCAGCCTGTTTTGGGCTGTTAGCAGACACCTTCTGTTCAGGCCTCTCTTCCATCCTGGTTTGTATTTACTTTTATCCTACTTCCATCTGTGCTGGCCTTCAGTGTTCATCCCTTTAAGCCCTCACTGTTTGGTGTACCACAGCAACAAGGGCAGCAGGGCTGCTGTCCTGCCAGCAGAGAGGAGCACCCAGGCACAGGAGGCTGGAGCCAGAATGGGTAACAATGACAAAAGTCAAGGCTGGAGGAAAACTCAGGCACTCTGGGCATTTTTCCCCATTCTGAGCTGCAGCTGTGTGGCCGTGCAGACCTGAGAGGCCAGGAGCCAGGCAGGCCACAAGGGCAGATGGCCAGGCACTCACTGCCACCTTCTGGGTTTTGGCTGCAGGGTGCTGATAGCTGGTGGGCAACACCAACCAGGGCTCCCAGCAGGTTTAAGAAATGGATCTGGGGCTCTCCCTCACTCAGCACGCTTGGCCCAGTCCTGGCTGGCCCAGACGAGAAACAAAAGGACACTTCTGCAAGTGATAGAGTGGTTTATTTTTTTTCAGAGGGCTGTGGGGAAAAGAGCAGAGGGCTCCCTCCTGTCTTGCCCCCACAGCAGGTGTTACCCACACACACATGCAGTCAGGGATGGGCACAGACCCCGGTGCATGGGCACCAGCCAGCAGGGCCCAGAGGAGTTGCACTTGGAAGTCACAAAACATTACAGGGCAGGGGGTCACTGCAGTAGCAGCAGAGATAAAAACCATAGGGAGGGAGTCCCAGGGTGTGGTGCTAAGCTGAGCAAGGGATGTCCCAGAAGGGGAACATGGTCTCACCCTGGGAGTGGGCACCTGGGCTCCCTTCCCCATGAGGGAGGACCTAGAGGAGAAGACAGCCTGGCCCAGACCACAGCCTCCTCTCGAAGATGCCAACAAACACAAGCAGAGACAGAACACCTCTTGTGTAACCCCACCCTGGGGCAGCCCTTGCAGGCAAATCTCCCCCAGCAGGCAGAGCTGCCTGTGCCACCTGGGGTCACAAGTGCCAGGGACGGTAGCTCTGTGCCCAGGTCCCTGGGGGAAGGACAGCCTGCCTAGCCCACCAGCTTGTTCCATGGGATGGTGCTGAAGAAGGAGTGGGACTTCAGCTTCGCCATGCCACCTCCTCCAGAGCCCAAGCGCTGCTTTGGGTTGTACTGTAGGAGCTGCAGAGAAAGGGGATGGGACAGCAGGACAGAACGATGGGGACACTAAAAAGCTACCCAAGCTGCCTTGCCCCATCCTCCCAAGCCCCTCACCTCGGTGAGCAGCGATGTGGCAGCCAGGCTGAGCCCCTCCGGCAGATGCAGCTGGGTGTGAGGTTGAATCCCTGAAGGGTGGTTTTGGGACAGTGGCTGCAGGAGGCAGAGGGTGATGGTGAGTGGAGGCACAGAAGAGGGTAGGACCACACTGCTGAGCCTTCATTGCCACACAACCCGAGCCCTGGACGGCAGGATTTAAAACCTGGGGTCCTGAACACCCACAGACCACACAGAGGCACTAGGAATCCCACACCTGAAGCAAGCTGACACAGCACTGAGGTGCCAGCAGGGCCAGGCACCCTCCCAGCCCTTGCATGCTCGGGAGCCCTTGAACTACAGCATCACCTCCTCCCCCTCCTCCTTGCACAACTCCTCTGCCTCTTACCACTCCTGTCAGCAACTCATACAAGAGAGAGCCAAAACTCCAGCAGTCAGCTGCTTCGGTGGGCTCCACAATCCCCCCTACTTCTGCAAAAAGAGCCAGAGGCGTTACAGCTGCAGGCAGGGAGCTGTACCATGCTGGACACATCTCGCTGCCTGCAGAAGCCCCCTCCCCCAGTCGGTGGTACTGGGCAGAGGGCAGCAGAAGGCAGGGCATGTGTCCCTCACCTGGGGCACTGTACAGCTCTTCTCGTGCCTGGCTGCAGTATTGGGGCTCCACCTCTGTCCACTGGCCAAAGAAGGTGAGACGGACGTGACCTGCCAAGCAGCAACCAGAGTCAAAAGCAGGAAGGTTAGGACAAAGCTAGGGACTTTGGGTCAGAGCACAAAGCCAAGCCATATCCCTGCAACCGGGAACAGGCAGGGCACTGGGCCCCAGCCATGCCCTGAATGCAGAAGCACTGTGAATCCCCCTGGCCTCCCAGTGCTTGCCCGAGATGCCCAGCAGGTACTTGCAGCTGGTGAGACTGGTTAGGTGGGCTCCAAGCTCACAGATCTCAGCACAGGCTGTAATGAGGAAAGAAGCAGATTATAAAAGGGAGGTTAGCTTTCCCCTGGCAAAACTCTGCATTTTTCTTTTCCTAAGCAATTTGCACCTCTCCAGTTTGCCCCAGCTGCCACCTGAGCAGGGACTTGCCTTTGGCTTGCACTGACAGTGGAACCCATGGCTCAAAGGGATGGGATGGCTCCAGAATACCCCAGCAGGCAGTAACTACAAGCAGGGGAATACTGCAGTCCCACTAACCTCAGGCACAGTTCAGCTACCCTCAGCTTCCCCATGCTGGGATTTCCCAGGCAGCCAGCCCCAATGTGGGAGCAGGGGTAATGCATTCCTGTGGCTACAGGCCCTGATTCTCCCACTGCAGAGCCATCTCTTGTAATAACTGCTTGGAAATCCCAAGTGAGACCACACTTCCAGGCTCAGAAACATCCAAACCTCCCCAGACTCTCACCCTCCCCCAAAGCAAACTCAAGAAAGTCCATGTCTCCTGGAAACAGAGCAAATGGCAGTCTCCCAGCCAAGAAAGCCAACCACCTCCTCCTTGGGGCAGCAGCTTAGGGCACTACCTACCAGCTGCATCAAGCAACAGGTTCCTGGGGTTGAGGTCCCGGCACAATACACCCTGTTGGTGAAGTCCCTCTAAGGCCAGGAGGATTTCTGCTGCCCACAGCTGCACCTGCTCCTCCTTCACAGCCCATGCTCTCCGGCCATGCCCACAGGAAGCCAAAGACCTGTACTGTCCTGATGGTGGCTGCTCACTGAGCCAGCCACAGGTCAGGCTTGCTCCCTGCGAGGGCTCCCGCACCACTGGGTCAGGCCCACAGGGCTTGGCAGAGCTGGATGGGGCAACTTCTGCACGAAGCTGCCTCTGACCCAAGGTCAGGAGGGGCCAAGCCCAGGAGATCTCAGACACTTGCTGAGACGGCAGCTCCCCTGCCCCTGGTTGGCCCCCTCTCAGAGTCTTCAGTACAGAGATGGGCACCTGGGGAAGCCTGGGGTGTTGTTGGGAGGCTGCTCTCTCTGATACGCAGCCCACAGTGCTGGCTAGAGTGTCCCAGGGGTAGACAGTCAGGCCCTGGCTGGTAAAGTGGCTGGGGCCTTTGGCTGATGC